GGTGGGTTCCCATTAGAGCTGATTGACGGAGATGCCTCCAATATACCCCTGCAGTGGATAACTGATGTCCTGACTGAGCTGGACACCAAGACTGGAGGACAATGCAGAATGAGAGTGATCAGTGTGCTGGGAGTTCAGAGTACAGGGAAATCCACCCTTCTGAACACCATGTTTGGTTTGCAGTTCCCGGTGGCCAGTGGACAATGTACACGAGGGGCCTTCTTGACCCTTATTAAAGTGAAAGAGAATGTCCGGCAGGAGCTGGGCTGTGACTTTATTCTGGTGATTGATACTGAAGGTCTGAAAGCTCCAGAATTGTCTTCTCTTGAGGACAGTTATGAACATGACAATGAGTTGGCAACACTAGTGGTTGGGCTGAGCGATATCACCATAATTAACATGGCCATGGAAAACATGGCAGAAATGAAAGACACCTTGCAGATTGTGGTTCATGCTTTCCTTCGGATGAGTGAAGTTGGAAAGAAACCAAACTGTCACCTCGTACATCAGAATGTAAGTGATGTGACAGCATATGAAAGAAATATGGCCGGTAGAACAAAACTTTTGAAAGAATTGAATGACATGACAAAAGTAGCCGCTGAGATGGAGAAAAGGAATAACTCCATGGAATTTTCTAATATTATTGATTATGATCCAGAAAATCACAGCTGGTACATTCCTGGATTATGGCATGGGGTCCCACCCATGGCACCAATAAACCAAGGATACAGTGAAAATGTCTTTAAATTAAGACAATATATTTTTAAATTCATAAAAGAAAGACAATCTCCTCCACCACAACACATTAATTCATTTATTGAATGGATAAAGAGTTTGTGGCATGCAGTTAAACATGAAACATTTATTTTCAGTTTCCGAAACATTCTAGTGGCAGAAGCCTATGATCAGCTGTCCATGAAATACTCAGAGTTGGAATGGAACTTCCGCAAGAAGGTCCATAATGAATTGGTCAAATATGAAAATATCATTAAAAACAATATTGTTGGCAATCTTCATACAGTAGCAACAGATATTGAAGAAAATGATCTAAAAAACCTGCTAGACAAAGAGCAGGAAAACATGACCCACAATTTATTAGAGTTCTTTAAGCGTGGCTGTGCCAATGTGCATCTAGTAGAAAGATACAAGGAAGATTTTCTGATTCATGTGAAATGTCTTAGGAAAGATCTTGGAGTAATGGCATCAAGCAAATGTTGGGAGGCCTTCCAAATACAAAATGGAAAAAGTGAGATTAAAAAAATACAAGATAAATGTCAGCAATATATTGAAGAAAAGGTTCAGAAACATTTGGAGGATAATAGAATGAAGCAATGTATGCTGAGTGAGAGAGAACTGAAGTCACAATTTGATGCATTGTGGGATAACATTTTATTAGAATTAAAAATAACTCGTTTGCAGAAACACCGAATAGATATGGAAATGCTGGAACAACTTAAACAGGAGATGAGGAACAGACCAGGCGATGTTACACAGAAATTACATAATGTTAGGTCTCTCAAAGATTATGGACAGAAATTGGAAATAACTAATGCCTGCATGGATCTTAGTGTACGTTCTAAAGTCAAAGAATTCTTCACCAAAGACTGTTGTAAAAAATTAAAAAATATTGTACGGTCATTAGCAGATAATTGCGCAGAATATGTTGTAGACAAAGTGAACATAAAAGAAGATTATAATGAAATGTACTGTAAGGAATTATTAACCATGATAAATACAAAACTGAATGAAAAAGAGGCTCAAAATCTTCACCCCACAGCCTTGTTTGAGGTGAATCTGAAACTGCATATACTGGGTAAAGCAGCCCCTCACTTTCAGAAGATGCATGATGATTTTGGGACCAGAAATGATCCCAAACTTCTTCTTAATAAACTTAAACCTCATTACTTCAATAAATATAAAAGCAGCTTGCAGCAGGACAAATCATCCAGGGTCCATGCTCAACATTTTTATGAAGAATGTTTGAAACCGGCAATAATTGAATACATCTACAAAACTCTTGGCAAGGAAATTGTTGACAATATTTTGAAAAGTCCAGATGCCAGAAGGTTCAATAGTCAGAAGTATTTCCAGTTCACCCTTTTAAAGGAACTGTTGGAAATAAACCGGTTTGAGAATTACTTGCAGTACATTACTCAATATGAAAACTATGTGAAAACCTGGATTTCAAATTACATTGTAAAGAAATATGAAAGCCCTACAGTTTTTGAAAACTTGTTATCAGGAGTCACCTCTTCCATTACTGAAAAAATGAGGGTAGCTCTCAGAGATGCTAAGGTCCAAAAGAGCCGCAGTGTGACTGAATTACTGGACATCTTTTCCACTGAGATAAAGAAGACGTTGGTGCTGTCAAAGAGTGCAATGAAGATAACAGGCTTCCAGAATAGCTCAACTAATGATATATTTTCTAGTGACATTGAGTATTTCCTTGATAAAACAAAAAAGGAAATTAGAACTGAAAACTTTTCCATAGAATCTATTCTTTCTAATCTGACGTTGAAGCCTCAAAATGAGTTGTTCTATAAAATAATTGGATGTGGAAAGAAATGCCCATTTTGTAATGCTCCGTGTGAGGCAGGAGGAAATCAGCACAGCCAGCACTTTGCATCAGCTCACCGCCCTAAGGGATTAGCCCAGTACAGGTGGTCAGAATCCAATATCCTTTGCAATTCTATATGTTCTATTGATGTAATTTCCAATGACAGTTTTATAAACTCCGACACAGACGGAAAATGGCACCCATATAAAGATTACTGTGCAATTTATCCAGACTGGATCATTCAACCAGACAGAGACATGAACTTCTCAAAATACTGGATGTTCGTTCTTACACAGTTCAATAAGGAATTTGCAAAACGCTATGATGCTGGACCTGCTGAGATCCCATGGGAATGGGGAAACATAACTAAAGAGCAAGCACTGAGCAGTCTGCAAGAAAGCTATCATTTTAAATAAAAAAATAAGTAATATCAGGCTCCTCAATGTCAACTAGCAGCACATAGCACATTTGTGATACATTTTATGAAATATTAAAGTGAAACATATACTTCATGTGCAGATGATTTGTCCATTGGTTCAGCAGCCTCAGTATTGGATTACTACGGAACCCCAGAATGGATTACTCCTATTGTAGATGTATGTTAACTTGTATTGCGTTTAACTGTTTATTGTCACAAAGTTGTAACTCTCAGTAACAAACACTGCAGTCTGTTTATTGAATTTAGTGAAGTTATATTTCAGTTACTTACTGTAAGCTACATTATATTTTAATTATTTACACTCTTTCTTGACATAGGCACCGTCGTTATTCGGCAGGTGCTATTTGAAATACGAATTAAATGAGACTCAGACACCGTTTATCCTGTTGGAGTATAAAGTCCACAGCTTTATTAATTCTTATTAAATATATATAAATTAACATATTAGGGTCATTGTCATCACTGACAAATAACATTTTACTTGTAACACCCGGCCCACCAAAGAGGCCCCATATCCAAACTGTTAACTGTAGGGGTGTACCCAGACACCCCTACCCCTAGGTTCGTAGCCACCGAAGAGCTTGAACCTACCAACACTCACTTCCATCTGGCCTACTCCAGCCTAGGCCTTGGCCTGTCCATTATCAATTCCATCCAACTTCCGACTTTACCACGCCCTGTTCCGCTATAGCACATGACTTGATGCCTTAAGGACATGTGCCACCCCCACCACACAAAAACAGGGCCTGACTAATGCCTTCCTGAAAACCCAGATTAAGTAAATCGGTCCCCACATCCGACAGGTGTACACCATCACTCCTAAAGTAACCAGGCAACATGCCCTCTAACTCCCGGTGTCGCACCACGACGCCGCCCAAACGCCTAATAAAAACCGCCATGGTCCTATTAACTTTACTCCTGCATCGGGCCACTGCAACTGGATCCCTGGCATGTCGCCACATGAAACGGGGCACCATTTCTGACCATACTACCACCACGCCAGGAACCAGCCCCATGAGCCGATCCATGTCCCTCTTCATCCTCCTTACCAGTTCTCTTTGTGGGATAAGCCCTAAATCATTCCCGCCGCCGTGAACCACTACTACATCCGGCACGGACCCCCCGACACCATTCTAAACAACACGTTACTTAAACACTGCCAACTAAACCCCCGAAAACCAAACCATGATATCGCCACCCGGTCCTGCGGAAAGCCCAGCTGTGTTCCATTTCTTCTAACTGCGGCTGTCTTCCTGCCAGATCTTTTCCAGAGTTTCTCCTTTACCTCAACCTTCAAGTGACAACCCAGTGGCCCCGCGAAAGACACGTGCACATTTTGTCTTGCTGCCTCTGAGATGTCACCATATCCCACGGTTTGCTCCCTTACCCTCTCCGGCGTCTCCACAGACATAGAAGCATTTCCCGACTCCCCGCCACTAGCTCTCCATGCTAACGGCTCCAATCTCCTGGCTTCTGCCCCCCGGTCACCCCCTGACGCCCATACCCTTCCGAACTGAAGTGAATCCCCCTCCCCCGACCATGATTCCAGAAACTATTTCAAGCAGCCTATGAATGTTCCTGACTGTGGTGCAGTTGTGGACTCATCGCTGTTGTCCCCGGCCGCTTCAGGCCGCAGGGTTGCTGTCCTTACGTCCGCCTTGCCAGGCCCCGGAGCATTCAGTCGCCGCCGACTCCTGCCTGCCTGATCCCGCCACGTGACCGCCGGTGTATTACTCCGCGACCTGTAAGGAGAAGATAACCTGGGCAGTCTGTCGGATAAGCTCCCTGCCCGCCCTTCCTCCCTATGCTCTTCACCTTCTCCCTGAGCTCCTCTCCTCCCTGCCGTCCGACTGTCCCTGCTGTCTGCTCTGCTCCACCGCTCGTGGCAACTTCGTTCAGAGGAACCTGATGCGCTGCGCCGACTATACTTCCTACTTTCTTCGGACCCGGACCTCCTCCTCTCCTCTCTGCAACTGGACCTAGACTCGCTGCACCCGTAGCGTGATCGGCTCCCCAGTCTCCTTGTCATGCTCCTGTCGCTGCTGCGCCTGGCGCTAGCCCTGCGCCGCTCTTCCCTACGTCCCCTCCATGCACCATCACCACTGGCTTGCTGCCCCTGGGAGCTGCCCGCGCTTCTCTGAAACCCCCGGCTCGTGGTGGCCCCTGTAACTCTCCGCTGACCTCCATGCCTGGCTTTCCGGTAGCCGCCCTGCTTGGCCCCGCGCTGACCTCTGCTGCCTGGCCACTCATGCATTCCATGCCTCCTGTTGCTCCCTGTTGGCTCTGGCTGACCCTGCTGCGCTCCTCCCCCCTCATTCCATTGCTGCACTTGTCCCTGGCCCCACTCTTGGCTGCCCCTTGTGTCCTCCCGCTGTCCAGGTCACCCCCTGCCATCTGGGGGACCGCCTGTGCCGAGGAGCCAGCAGCACCATCACCCCTCTGACTGACAGTGGCCCCTCTGTTGGTCGACTCACCCGGACCGGCGGTGCTGTGCCTCCTGGCCATGTGGCCGCCTTCTGCCCTGGCCGCCTTCCTGCGGCCGCCCCTGCGCGGGGCGCTCTCCTCATTCGCAGCCCCTGTTTTGCGGCCATCCTCGCCTGACCAGCCGCCTTGCTTGACGGCGCCGGCCGCGCTCTGGGTACCTCCGCCATTCTGCTTCCCGAACCTGCTGCCTCCCTCTCTCCAGCTGAAGGGCTCCTCCTCCGCCGGGCAGCATGCGCCACACCCGGGCTCAGCCGCTGGGGTGGCCTTGTCCTCCGCGCCGGCCTCCGGTCCGGTGCCTCTTGGGGGGTGGCAGCTGCTCCCAGCTGTCCATGAAGCCACGCTAGGCCCCTGTCTATCACCGCCGCCCGGACTCCATCCAGTATTTCTTCCAGCGACGCCATGACCTGCAGAAATGACAAAAAGAAGAACTCCACAGACCTGTCACAATTAACAGGTGAGTGAAGTTAAGATTAAAATGGCCACTCTCTGAGATGGCCACTATTTAAACTGTCCTTAGACCACCCCCACGCTGCATTACCCTAAACCCACCCCTTTTTCCCTGCCCACTCTCTGGCCCTGTCAAGGCCCACTCCTCCACTGCACTGTTCTGTGGGCTCCATTCCAGGGGTTAGTGGTCGGAGTTAAATGTTGCTAATTGGCGACCCTATGTTCTATTCTAGTTCATATATTGCTATAAAAAAACTGTATGGGTACCGGGGCTAGCTGACATATCTGATACACAAGTGCAGATCTGTAAATGGCAATTAATCATGATATAGTAACCTACCCACCCTCCCACTGATTAGAATAATACCCCTACCTACGACATAATGGAAGATAATTATATGGTGTTATATAATTATTTGCCCATTGGCTAGTGTATTTTTACAGCTTATTGAATTATTACAACTCAGTGTATTATTGCATTTTATTGTTTCATTAAAGTTTGTTATATTATTACAACTGTATTTTTTGAGCTTGCATTTTTTGATTTGTATCATCTTTGTTGAAAACATAAAAGACATAACGTAATGGGCACGCGCGAGCGCTGCTTGAGACGCTGAACGCTGACGTGGAGAGAGAATGGCGGGAAGATGCAAGGAAGCGAGTAGAAGCAGGGAATTTATCCTCACTAATGACTGCAGCCATGGGCGTCCGCAGGAATTTTTCCGGGGGGGTGGGGGAGGTCATAATTGTAATGACATCCATGCTTGGCCCCTTTTTGACAGTGTCATGAAAGGGAAGGCGCATAGTCATTATCACATGAAGCCAGGGTGAATAGCGTTTTCACAACTATGGTCTCAGGAATACATGTTTGTATTCCTGACACTATAGTGTTCCTTTAAGCAAATTAAAGGCACATTCTGGTCACCATAACAACTTCACCTAAATGAAAATGCTATGATGCCAGGAAGCCCCTGGGTGCTCTCTTTCCTTTAAGGGGTTAAACCACTCTCAAATGGAAATGCACATTAACAAATCTTCATTAAGATCAAAACAAGACCCTTTTATTATCAACCAACACTACGATCAGATATCACAGCTGGCAGACTCACTGATAAACATGTGTGACGCATACACATCAGACAAGGTAAATGTAAAGTCAGACTACGATGACGCCTATTCTCAGGAATTGTTACACTTGGTTGCTGAGAAGATGTTAAAAAGATTCACTTTTCCTCTGCATTTCAACTTGACATCAAACTTTGCATTTTCGCCCGAGTTGCTGGTGTATTTAAAAAAATGCATGAGAATTTCATGGAAGAAAATGACCCTAATGTCTGCTTTGAAAGGTTAATGCCTCAATGTTATTCTACTTTTCTCAGGATATACAAAACAAAAGACCAAAGTCATTACAGAGCTAGAGATTTGTGTTTGCCCTGTCTGAAGCCGGCTTTAATTGAATATAATTACAGACATCTGGGTAAAGAAATAGTGGATGATGTGCTACATAGTCCAGACAATATCATATTTAACAGTCAAACCGTTTTCTATGTTACTGTGCTGGAAGATGTGTTGGCAAAAGGGAAATTCAAAGAATATTGAAAGAGATTTTTTTTTAAATGGATATTGAAGTAAATAAATATAGTAATATTTCAAGTCTGGAATGATTTTATGTAAAAATTCTATCTCTCATAGTACACAAGATTAACGATGTTCTCACAAACAGGAAGTTTCTGAGTGCTACCCAGGGCCGTCTTTAACGCGGGGCAAACGGGGCAGCTGCCCCAGGCCCAGTTTCTCTTGGGGGACCCGAGGCACCTGCCCCGTGGGCCCCGCTGCCCTCATCAATTTATTTTTTTCCCCCGTCCCACCGGGTGGCCCATGCACTTAGGGCAGTGGCGTACATACCAGGGTCGCGACTGCGACCCTGGTATGCACCCACAGGGCCAGCGTCTTCCCCTGGGGGGCCCAGGAGGCGGCCACCCCAGGGC